TTTTTACAGTAAAATGAAAATGATTTCTGGCAACAGATTTATTACCAGAATATCCTTTTTAAAATTCTGTTTTTTTACAGAACTGGAAGGAAAAATTCCGGCAGCAGATTTACCAGAATATTCTTCCTATTTTTCTGTTAAATTACAGGAAATATTAGAAAAATTCCGGCAGCTGATATACCAGAATATCCTTCCTATTTTCTGTTAATTACAGGAAATATTATTAGTCATTCTGTAAACAGATTTTGTAGTAAAATATTTCTGTTATTTAAAGCAAATATTTTACAAGAAATTCTGTTATATAACTGAAGGCAAAATTTAAATTCTGGTAAATCAGCTGCCGGAATTTTTTCTGTTAATGGAAGGAAATTTTTTTTACAGTGTAGGTAGAAGCAACAGCGTGCTTCCGATTTCAACGATAATCATTATTTTTCGATGATGCACTTTTCTTGTCCTTAAGTAGCCAAATTACTTCAATTTGACAATCGTTTGAACAAACGCTATACATTTGCATATTTTAGGTTCTTGGAAAAGGTTACCAATAAAATCAAAAAATCAAATCATACCTTTAATTGCTAGTACTGCCAAGTTGAGAAGCAAAGCGGTGACAAACATCATTTTGCAGAGTTCGCTGAGGAAATAATAGGTACAACATGATAGCAATGGACTTTTATACATTTTGCTTATGTAACATCTTTAGAAAAATCAATATTCATGTCTCAAATCTGCCCGATAGAATATAAATAAGAAAATGTGATGGGTTCAGAACAATGAGATAGTTAATAAGCTGCTTTTTGACAACCTTCAAAAAATAAAATCGAGGTCATTTTCGTGCCTATGGCAAATTGGATCTCTCGGAATCAATTTCAAAGTGTGTCTTTATTTCTATAATTTTAATCTAAATTTTTGTCATATTGCACTCGGCGAAGTACATCTCATTACACTTTAGTTTTAATGTTTAATAATTATATATCACCATTCCGTTTACACGGTAATACACAACTTGATGAGATAACAGCGGTCAGATGCATTCAGTTTACGCATTTATATAGTGTACACAGGTTTTTTTCTTGTTATACATCGATAAATTGAAAAAATGTTCAGGTCATCCCTTAATTACTAAAATCCATAATTGATCTTAAACGTTTGTCAAATTAACCTTTTGACCTAACCTGATAAACGCCACGTCACAAAATGCCAGCGTTGGAAAGGGTAGAAATTGGATTGGTTCAAGCAGACGTCATCGAGTAAGGTCAAAAGCTTGTTTTGACGAACGTTCAAGAGTAATGTCGTGAGACTCTAACTGAAGTGATAGTATTAAAAATAAAAGCTAATAAAAAAAAACAGAAAGAAAGTTTGTACTAAGTTTAACAGGACTGTTTGGAATTACGCGTATGTCCTATAACGTCTGATACAAAATTATATGTCTCATCCTTGAATACTGAAAACTTAATTGCTTCTTAGTTTTCAGTCAAAAGTATCTCGTTTTAGCAAATACCAATGTGGGCGTCAATGTGACGTACTACATATAATTATTTAGCTGTTTTCTGCTAATTATAAAAAAAACGTTGTTTCTGTTTCAATTCAGATTCATAGATAAATCTATCTTGTCTGTAACCTCACCAATATGTCAATATATGTCAATTTAAAACAACTGAAATCAATAGCAAACCTTGTGAAATCGACAAAAGACCGTGCCCTAAGAAGATATAATTGCAGAAATAAGAAGAGAATTTATTAATGAAATTAAAGATAGGTGCCTATTCACTACAAATGAATGACTGTAAAGCTGAGATCCAAACGTTGAAGGCCTCAAATTACATTTTAAAAGATCACTACCTTGTACTGGATACTGAATTCTGCATAGAAAACAATTTGCTAGAAACAGAGATGATCAATATTCTAGCAAGAACAATATAAAGCTTATGGGGTGAAAGGAGACAGACGAGGATCTGAAGGCGAAGTTTTGTGAAATAGTTAAGAGACATGCAAAAATGGATCTGAATATTTCTGAAAAAATTGCTATACACGGAATAGCTCAGAAAAGCAGACGCTATCCAAGACTAATTTTGATAAAGTTTATGAGATCTCTTAAAATAGAAAGGCAGGATTAAAAGGGTAATCTTCAGCTGTATGATGTCGCAGAAACGCAGAGCTGATAAATCGGTTTAAACCCGCTGGATGCAAAGGTTAACGGACATTAATGATAAAAAGAAAAAAATTACAAATTAGAAGAAAACCTAAGTAAGAGCTACTTTAAACCATTTTGTGAGATGTGTTACTGTATATGTTTAATTTGTCTATGTTTATCGCCATGTGTGTTGTGAGAGTGTGGGTGTATATATAAAATATATATATTATTGTGATGACCAAAACAAGCCTCAACAGCAAATTAACATGGTGTCTTTCAATTCCAAACTTAACAAATTTAAA